CTAAGGAGCATTCCTGAAACAATAGACAAAACATATGTTTCAATGCAATGATAATCAAATGACAACAAACTGTTATCAAAATAAGACTGCAAAAAATACTTAATTTTCTTCTTAAAAATGTATGTTAATTTAAATCATTAAGACACGCTAAAATCATTTACATATAAATTTCTTATCTTAATATATATTACTAATTTCTTTTTAACCTTATGCTCGAACATTGGTTTACACAATTCAAATATCATTTGTTTGAACTCAAAGCATTTGCTGTGAAGTTCTTAGTCCTATTAAGCTTCCGCGTGTGAGCTTAATTAGAACATATTCAACAAACTGCACACAAAAAGAAGAAATTGTTTGACTACATGTTGAATGATTAAGTTAATTTATGTTATACAACAACAACAACAACAACAAAAAACCTTTATCCCACTAAATGGGATCGACTACATGAATCCTTTTCTCTACTGCGTCCTATTTTCATTTAATTCTAATAAATTAAGATCTTTTTTTGTACAATATTCCCAAGTCTTCCTAGGTCTACCTCTGCCTTTCTTAACAATAAGTCGAATCTAAAACATCTACTCTTTTAATCGGATCATTAGATGGTCGACATTTAATGTGACCAAACCATCCAAGATGACTCTCTCTAATTTTGTCTGTCATAGGAGCAACACCAACCCTATCACAGATATATTCATTTCACATTTTGTTTCTAAGTGTAAAGCCACTCATCCACTTAATCATTCTCATCTAGGTAACACTTAACTTAGTTTTATGCTTCTCTTTTAAAGGCCAAAATTCAACACCATAGAACACTGCAAGTCTAAGTCTCACCATCACCATCATTTTATAAAATTTTCCTTTCAATCTAAGCGGTACATTTCTATCACACAATAGATCCGAAGCATTCCTCCACTTCAACCAACCAACTTGTGATAATATCTCTATCAATATCACCATCACTTTGAACAATAGAACCGAGATATCTAAAGCGTTCACACCTTTTAACACCTTTTCTTTTAATAATTTGATCACCCATAGTTACAGTTCTGTCACCAGAGCCACTACTACTAAAATAATATTCCATGTATTCAGTCTTAGTTCTACTCAAACGAAGGCCTTTAAACTCCAAGGTAGATCTCCATAATTCAAGTTTTTCTTGAACTTTGCTTTCGTCCTATCCATGAGAAGGATATCATCAGCAAAAAACATACACCAGAGTACATCCTCCTGTAAGTGTCCAGTAAGACCATCCATAACTAAAGCAAAAAGATATGGGCTTAAAACTCGTCTCTGATGTAAACCAACAGAAATAGGAAAATATTTGATCAATCCTCCATCGGTTCGAACACAAGTAACAGCTCTTGTATACATATCATTAATGACTTCAACATAAATCATATCAACACATTTTTTCTCAAGAACTGTCTAAAGGATATAGTAGACCATCAAACCTCTCAATAGATGTATAGCTTCTATAGTAGACCTGCCCGGTATATGTCTTAACCTATGTTCAATTATCCTCTCCCATAATTTTAAAGTATGACAAACTTAATTTCTCTATAATTCACATACTCTTGTGCATTTCTTTATTCTTAAAAATGGGGGCCAAAATACTCTTCCATTGCTCCTCAGTCATCATTTTAGTTTTTAAAATAATATTAGAGTTTGGTAAGCCAAGAAACACCCAAATCTCCTAAATATTTCCAAACTTCAAATGAGATATCATCAGATCCTACAGACTTTCCACCTTTAATTTTCTTTAAAACCTCTTCAACTTCTTTTTTACTAATGCGGCGGTAAAAATGAAAGATTTTATTATTATTAACGACATGAAGATCACTAAGGTCGATCGTATTTTCCGAAACTTCATTAACAAGTTTATAAAAATAACTCATCCAGCTATTTTGAATATATTTTTCTAAGAAAAATACTT